CTGATTGTGCAGCCTAAATGTTTATGTGAAGGTCCCTTTGAAAATGCTGATAATAATTCAAATGTAAGAAATGCATATGAGCTCATCCCTGGTGTCTGAGTAGCTCTTTTGTGGAAAGAGTAGGGAGAAGATTGGGCTGGGCTGGGAGCCCTGAGGAAGGGAACCAAAACTGGGGATTGAATTGCGAAGAGCAGGAGTCAGGATGTGGAGTGTTCTAGTGAGAAAGGGCCAGGGTCAAAATCCTGGGAGAGGCCAACTATTGAATTGGGAAGGGGCAGGAAGGACTGTGCTGGGTAACTGCTGTAAGAATTTACAGAGTCGTACAGTATAGGACATGGTAGGGCTGGGATTAACATCCGGACCTGCTGCTTTCCCTCATGTTTGAATACCACTTGTATCATTTATTAGCCAAGTTCCCTTTGGCAAGTTATTAATTTCTCTGTCCCCCAGTTTTCGCATCTGTGTATTGAGGATAAGAAAACTACCAACGTTTAAGTGGTGTTGTAGTTATGAAATGAGTTGATATAGGTTAAGTATTCCTTATTCAAAATGCTTAACAAACACCAGAAGTGTTTTGGATTTTGGATTTTTTTTTATTTTGAAATATTTGCATTATACTTAGCAATTGAGCCTCTATAATCCAGAAATCTGAAATCCAAAATGCTCCGATGAGCATTTCCTTTGAGCATCATCTTGGCACTCAAAAAGTTCTGGATTTTGGAGCATTTCAGATTACAGATGCTTGGATTAGGGATACTCAACCTGTATTTTCACTTTTTTCTTATCACTGAGCTAGGGCTGAGTCAATCTCATGAGAGCCACCAAAGTCCACACATTCTAGAAAATATACTTCCATTCCCTGGGCCTCTGTTTCTTCTACTTTAAAAAAGAGGAGAAAACACCAGCTTCCTCTGGGACGCTCGCCACCCAATGCCGGTGGCTAAGTTCTCTGCAGATCTAGTAGCTTCATAATGAGGGGAAGGAAGAGGTGGGGCATTTAGATTACTCTTTGCACAATTTCTTCCCCCAGTTGCTATTCAGCTCTCTATCTGTTGGTGAGATTGTAAATGTTTTAGAAAATAGTTTATACTAAATATGTTCCTTCCTAAATCTCATAAACAGTTACTCCTTCCCACATAAACCGTAACCACTTATGCTCATGGTAGGTTCCAATTAGCCACCCACATATCTGTGGAGGGGAAAAATATGTTCTAGCATGTACACACACATACAAGCACTTCCAACTCAACCCCTTCTCTGTGGCTATTTTCAGGTGAAAAAGCAAATATTCTGCATGAATGGTCAGGGTCAATTGGACAGGACTCTTGCAAATCAGTATGTTCCCAAGAGAAGCCACCAATTAATTCTGCAGAGATCACTGTTGCTTCTCAGTATCTCTTAAACTATCCTGTGGCTTATTCCTCAATAGCCAGCCCATCGAGTCTGCAACAACCAGTCAGTGCTGAGGCTACATTTCTGAGGTTGGATTGGGGCACCAGGAGCTCCCCGGGGGTATGCTGCTGCCCCTGGCTTTGCAGAGCAAATGTGTTACCCACAGAAGCTGTGAGAGGCGGCTTAGCGGAGTGCAAACTCTGGGAGCCAGTCTGCCTGGGTTCAAAGCCCTGGCTGTGCCATTTTCTAGCTATGAGACCTTAAGCAAGTTATTTCACCTCTCGATGCCTCTGTTTCTTCATCTTTAAAAGGAGTACCCACTCTTAAGGTTGTTATGAGGATTACGAGTTGGGGCTGGTAAAGTGCTTACAATGGTAGCTAGTATTAGTGTTACCGTGTGTTTGTTAAATGAAATGAGAGAAGTCCTCTCTCTCCCTGATCTCCTTCTCACCCTGAGGATTACTGCACAATTGGATGGGGGGATTACAGGCTTTGTTTTGCCATCTTGTAAGAGGCAGCAACTGTCTCATCCCAGAAAAACAAACCTATTACTGAGCAGCTGGCAAACCCTGGACTTGGCAGAGAAGGAGAAGAGAAGGGTTCTCTCATCATCACATGGTAGGATCCAAAGCTGGGGCATTGGGCACCTTTGTAGAGCCACTGTCACCCAGGTAGCCATGACACTTTGGCCAATTTGAGCAGTCTCTCTTTCACTGATCAGATGATGCTCTGACATCTGGTAAGCACAGTCCCAGACACAAATCTCAGGCGTTAGTTTCCAAAGGTGCCTTTGCTTCCCTGGAGATTCTTACGCAAATCATGGGGGCCCTCTATAATTTCATATGCTAATATGTAAAAGGGCAGGGGGTTAGACACCAAATATTTTAATAGGAGCAGTGCAACTTGCTGCATTGAGGCAAGGGAGGTTAGAGGCTGAAGGTGAGGTCCACTCTGATCCTGCAGTTTCCCCATGACTGCTGGTGAGTCCTCCGCCATCCCTCTCCCTAATCACAGAAAGTTCTGAGGCAGACCTCCCTGTAGATGGGGCAGGAGTCCTTTGGCTCAGCATTCAGGCCTCCCCTTAACTGGCACATGCAAACAAAATGGAAACCATCAACAGAACTAAACAAAATAATTGTTCTCCTCCCTCAGGAATGACAAGAAAAGTAGCATTAGAGGAGACATGTAGACAACCTACATGGCCCTTTCCCCTCAAGTTCCCTGTGCTGTACTGAACTATTTCCTTCCATAGCTGAACCATTGTGTTGTCCTCTATCTGAAATCTAATTACACTAAGCACCAGAGCTCCCACAATTATGAAAAGCTAAGCCAGCAACATATGAGGGTCTTTGTGGATTTAATTTTATTTTCCCAGATTCCTTATTTATTATTTTACAATAACGTCTGATTTTTAATTATTTTGCATGTTAGTCCCTGAGCAAAATAGAGGGGAAGAAAATATTGTATTAGGTAGCAAATCTGTGGACAACACTATAGCAGCTGCTTTTCACATGCTAGCTCATTTAATTTTCACAATATTCTATGGATGAGATTATAAATCCCATTTTAGATAGAAAGATGCTAAGGCTCAGAGAGGTATACTAGCTTGCCTCAGATCACACAGCTAGTAAGTGAAAAACTGGGAACCAAACTCAGTACACTGTCTCTCTCTGCCCCCTCCTCCTCATGTTCTTTTCACTATATGAAAGCAATAATATTATAAATTTGAGTAAGGGGCTTTTCCGGAAGTGTTCTGAAACTCAGCCCCAAATAAACTTGGACTAGTCCCTGCCTTCCTTTGAGCGGCAGTTTACACATCTATAAAATGAGAGTCTAAGATGCTGTTTCAGGTCCTTAGGATGCTAACATTCCAAGATTCCAGCCTCCATAGAATTTTCACTAGACCTTCTTTCTCTGGCTCTTACTTTACTTCTCTCCCTAAATCTTTCTATCTTCAACACTTTTATTCACCCCAACTGTCTCTGAGGGTCTCTTTGGTATTAATGAAGTCATAGCCTCACAGACTTTGGCCCACAAATCTGGTGGAGAATGAGCATGCATCTCTCACAAATGAACTGAAATGTAAAGGAAAAAGCCATTCTCAGCTGTGAATGGGACTGAGATGGGAGTTGAGGCTTTTCACAACTGGAGCCCAGCTATAGACTAGAGATTAAATGCCCAGGTCACAGCATTGGCCACCACTCTCACTCTGTCATCAGACTGGCCTAAAGAACTTGAACATTACCTCCGGAACATTTCCATGGCCCTCACCCCGAGTCCAAGTGCAACCTCCTCATGTGTTTGCTATTACACACACCATGCAGTATTATAATGTGTCTGTTTAACAAGCCTTCCTGAGTCCCAAAGGGCAGAGACTGTGTCTCTTTCATATTTGTATTCCCAGTGCCCAACACCATGCCTGCCTCATTAAAATTACCCTGAATGAATGTGCAAACTCCCTGGTCTAACACCTCCTGGTGTCAGAGATCAATTCTACCTTGCAGTGTTTCACCATGCCTTCCAGAGGGTCCTGCCCAGCCAAGGTAGGCAAGCTTTACTCCCAAGCCTTCAGATGAATTGGTCCATGGAGGAAGTCTGGAGAGCAGGGACTTTTCAGTTCTCAAGACCTTGTAAGAATTTCTGCTTTGTCTTCTTTGCCAGAATCCTCCTTTGGCTCCCAACAACATAAGCTACATGCTTCCAACTGACAGGCGAGAGGCCAGTGGGTCAGCTGTTGGTTCCATTTACTCAGAGCTGGGTGGCTGTACTGTTTCTGTCACTGAATCAAGGGATCCTTGGGACGGATGTGCTTGGGCGTTAAGGCAGCCTGAGGACCTAGTCTCCGGAAGCTTCTGTGAAGTGTGACTGGGCTGCCCTGCCTGGCACAGTGACTGGAATCTTCAGTTTGCCAATTATTTAAGAGCCCCAACCCCCTACCAACAGATCTCTACCCTCAGAGTGGAAGTGATTGCCTCAACCCTTGCAATAGAATTGGGGGCAGCAGCAGGGGAGGAGGGAAGAGGCTATTAGCAAATCAAAAGGAAAGAAAACAGGGAAAGGAAAACACAGTAGCAAATTAAAGCACTATGTTTTGTTTTTAAAAATCCAATTAAAGGGAAATCTGCTTTCCAGTAAAACAATCATCCCCTTGTTACAAAGTATCCCAGGAACCCTCAAGAGGGGCAGAACCTTTTTAATCACATTTTTTTCTCATTACAAGTTGGCTAATAGGAACATCATAGTAATTCCCCCTTAACTCTTCCACTTTTCACACCCACACAAACACACTGGCTTATAACAATGCTCTTATTTTATCTTTGTCTCAGACACATTCTCAAGCATGCTGGTTTACACTCTCCTTAGAATATCCCCATATCCTCAAACTGATATGCAAACGTATCCTCACCTACGGACCATTCTCCCTTCCTCTCCTCTCTCTCATGCACGTGTGCACACACACACACACAGAAACGTTATATACACTATATACACATAGAAACATACATGTTCTCCTTTTAATTCAGTACTAATTCAGTCATTCCTATTTCCCAATTTCTTCTCAGTCCCTCATACAGGTCCAGGCAGTGAAGCCCAAGGGAGATACTTACCTCCATAGCCTGCGGGAAACTTCATGAAGTGAGAATAATTTCCATACATGTTTACTCTTCAGTTCATGTTCCTCTCCTGTGCGGCTTCTAAATATTACAGCCTCTCCCGGCGCCCAGGCACAGCCCGGCTTTCTTCAACTTGGACTAACAAGAGTGGTCATCGCTTCCTAGCAGCCCGGGGAGCACAGGCTGGGCCAGCCCTCTGGGATTAGTCAGGAATCTGCCTCTAGATCGGAGAGTCCACATAGTGCGTTTGAGACGGCTGTGGCGGCAGCAGCTGGTGCCTGTCAGTAATCACGCATAACGCTGCCGCCGCCGCCGCCGCCGCCGCCGCTACTCTTGCCACCGCGGTCGCTGCTGCTGCTGCTGCTGCTTGAGATCCTGTTGCTAGTTTGATTAACTCAGGGCTGGGCTGCTGCGTGCGACTCTTCCAGCTCCCGGCGCGTCCCCAGAGGTCCCTACCGGGTGGCACGATCTATTATCTAGGAAGCCAATCGATGTGTGACCGCCCGGTGTAGGCCAGGAGAGAGGGGGGAGGTGGCAGGGGATGGAAGACTCTTTAGGTGCCCGTTCCTTGACTTGCATCCACAAAAATCAATGGGGTTTTATTAAAATGCATTTTCTCATTCGAGCTTCTATCTGTCTGATGTAGTTGGTATTTGATCTGTGAAAGGAGTGGGTAGGGTTCAAGAGAAAACAGGGCCCTTTCAGAAGCACAAGATTAGAAAAGCGTGATACTCAATCTCCAGCTACGGAAAACTAAAATAGAGCAGCCCTCAAGTTGAGGTGGGCCCCTCCTGCTTGGGTGACCAGAAGCATTTATCTGTGCTCTAACAATGGGAGTTTGACAAGTGCAGTTGGGAGCCCAGAGCTCACTCACATGGAGAACTTACAGGTAAGGAGGAGGGGTTGGCTTGATGTGGAGATCTCTCTCTGCATTTATTTTATATACCACTGTTTTTCTGCCACCTGTTCAAAAACACCACTGGGTCCTCACTGACACGGAGCCTGTCTTGTGTGGAACTGACCCGAAATGAAAGAATCTAGGCACCCGCTGATGTTTGGGACTGTCATACAGCTTTCGTAATTGTCACCGCTCAGCCTATACTTGAACACCTCCAATAATGGGGAGCTCACCATTTTCTCATTCCATCTCTAGGCAGTTTTCACCACAAGGAAGTTTCTTACAGAGATGAAATCTACTCCTTTTCCCTACAGTTTCTGGCCACAGGTGCTAGGCGGCTTCCAGGAGCCACACCACAAGAGAAGCCTGAAAGACAAAAAGTCTTTCACAGTGGGATCCTCTGCAAATTCCAAGATTGATCTGCTACACCCATAATCTCCCTTTCTTTAGGCATTTCTGACTCTTTCAGTAATTTTGTGTATCACCAAGTGTTCATGTCTATTCACAACCTGTCCTTTTTCTAATAATGTACTTCAATTTACATAGATACCCTCACAGTGAGGAAGAGGGTTGGCCAGACTTGGATGCAGTACTCTGGATATGGTCCAAACCTTTTCCTCATGGTATATGCCTCGGCAGGGTGATGGTGTGCTGTCAACATACCCATTGAAGGTCCATTTCCTGGGCTGAGCTCTGACAGGCTGGAAAAAAAAAAAAGAGATTTTCTCCTGATGCAGCACAAGACACAGAGAGCCAGAGAGGTAAGTCAAATCAGGGCCCCATAGAAAAAAATCAGCATTCAAGTGCGAGGAGAAGCCAAAACAAAAATGTAGAATAAAAGGCCAGAGGCAGGAACAAAGTCACGATGACAGAAGAGGAGGCCAAAATGAGGAATCAAAGCAAAAACATGTTAGAAAGGAGGAAGAAAGATCTCGGCCATTCCTGTAAAGAGCTTTGGAGAGTCCAGAGCTGCCTTGACTGATGCTGGGATGAAGATCCAGTGGATGTAAGTAATGTCGGGTACAGGAGAATCATTTGCTCACTGGCCGTTAGCTGGGCAACTCTGCGTGTTAATTCATGTAGAACTAACTTGATAAAAATCTCCCCACTCCTACCTCCCCCATGTTGTGTTCTCTCATGCACATTCTTCATGCCATCCTCGGGCAATCGGTTTGGGGACCTGTACGAAATGCTTACTATATTCCTCTGAAGTTAAAACTTTTTGGCTTCATTCTTCATCCCAAATCTTTTGGGATCCTGCTTCTGTTCTCCAAAGTATTTCTTATTCAGATCCCTATTGCATGACTTCTGAAAATCTGATGAACTGCTTTTTTATATCTTATTCAATTCACTGATAAAAATGTTGACATGGACACAGCAAAGACAACATCTTATATCACCAGAAAGTCGATTCATTAGTACCTTAGACAGCTTACTCTGCTACTTACTAGTTATATGGCCTTGAAAGGCTATATGTATAGTAAAAGCACCAACTTACAAACCAACCTTTCTGGGTACAAATCCCCATTCCATTGCTTACAGCCTCATGATACTGGCAAATGACTAAATCTCCCTGAGCCTCAGTTACCTTATAGGGTTACTGTGAGGATCAAATGAGTCAATACATGTTAAGCACTTGAAATATACCAGTTAAATACTAAATGCTCAATACATGTAATCTAATTGGATGCTGATGATGGGGAGGAGGAGGAGGTCGAAGAGGAAGAGGATGTAACTAAGCAAATCACTTCATGGCTCCTCTCCCTTTTCTCATTTGTAAAATGATGGAGCAGAGCTACTTGAGTTCCAGTATTGCCTTCAACTTTAAAACTGAATGCAAACTAATCCATCACTCATTTCATAATTGTCTATTTTCTCCATAGTGGTATCTGAAGCAAGTGTCTTACAAGCTACAGTTTTCTATTGTATGCATGTTAGAGAAGGAAATGAGTTACTTAAACTGGCTTTTTGGTGAACCCGTGTTTGCAAGGGTTTTTCCAAGTACTCAAGTACTCACAACCATTCTTTAAAAAGCATAGTCTACAGACTTGTCCAAGGTCATTGTCAAGATGATCTGTTGGTGGCTTACGGCAGACTCTTTCTTTACCTTTTTTTAAGTTCAGTACATTGTCAATTTCTTTTCCTCACAGAAGAAAAACCAAATCCTAACCTGGCATGGAAAAGCCTCACCGTTTGAGAGATGTCTTACCCCATCAGGTGAGCTCTATGGAGAGCAAAGTGCTTTGGGGCAGTAATCACAAGGCCCAGGATACACACTCTCTGGGAAAAACATCCATGCTGCCTGCCTCACTGAGGTTTCTGGATTTAGTTTTGGTTTTGTGGCTCATATGTGATAAGAGTTGGGCAGGAGCTCATTTTTACATTGCAAAGTTCTATACAATTGCGTTGTAAAACAAATGTGAAGAATTAATATTTTCCTGATTTTCTTTCCTCCCTTTCTCTGACAGTTGCTTCTGATCTGGCTGTAGGGGCATGGTATGTTCATGTCCCTACAGCCAGGTCAGAAGAAACTGTCAGAGAAAGGGAGTGGCACTTCCAGCTTCCAGTTTGATATAATTTGGATGTTTTTCCTCTCCAGCTCTCATGTTGAAATGTGATCCCTAATGTTGGAGGTGGGACCTAGTGGGAGGTATTGGATCATGGGGGTGGATCCCTCACAGATGTCTTAATGCTGTCCTTTTGGTGATGAGTGAGTTCTTGCTCAGTTACCTCACAGGAGATCTGGTTGTTTAAGAGTTTGGGACCTCCCCCTCCACTCTTTTAATCCCTCTCTCACCATGTGACACCCAGGCTCTTCCTTTGCCTTCTGCCATGATTGAAAGCCTCCTGGGCCTCACCAGGAGCTGAACAGAGACTGACACCATGCTTTTTGAACAGCCTCCAGAACTGTGAGCCAATTAAACCTTTTTTCTCTATAAATTACCCAGCCTCAGGTATTTCGTTACAGCAACATAAAAAGGACTAACACATAGTTCATTGTTCATGCCCATTTATTTACCTTTTCTCATCTCTAAAATTCTCAAATTCCATCTTAGTTCCCACTATGACCACACTTATCCACAAAGATGTCTCCCTAGCCTAGGTCTGACAAAACTTATTGTCCAATGTGTTCAAGTGACACTTAGCATGTATGGCCTTATGGCACCCCCAGTGCAATGGAAAGGAATCATTATCTTTCCTCTGAATGTGTCTTATCTTCATGATTGTTAACTCTTCTAATATAGTGATAATGTATTATGTGTTTTTGTTTTCTCACCTAAGTGCTAAAACACACAGTAGGTGCTCAACAAATATTTTTGTATCAAAAATGCTTGACATAATTAAATATGTCAAAAACAATATACCAAACAGTACCCCAGTATGCTTTTCTTATGATATCTTCCATATGGCTTAATACCCCATAACAAACCATACAGTTTGCCTAAAGTTCAAGAAATATGAATGTGGTTTTTCTTTTTAACCCACTTTTTTGTTTTTTTGTTTTTTTTTTTTTGGCTTGGCATCATTGTGTCTTCCCTAAGACCATTATTGATATGACAATGTTATCCTAAGTTGCTGGTATTTCTAATCTAGGCCCTTCCCAAACAACTCCACTGACTTCAGTTACTATAGTGTCTCCAGCTGTTACTGAACTCTCATTAGGATGTCAAGTGAAAGACCAAATGCTCAATGTCTATAGAAGGAATTAGCTAATTCATTCACAGGAATTCTTGGCCTACTTCTTGTCAAGGCTAATTATCTAGTCCTCTTAAATAATATGTTCTGCTTTTACCAAAGCCATTAGTGCCTTTGAGTAAATGAAAAGAGCATTCATCTTGACTAGTATGTTTGACTGTTTGACCCAAATTCAGCCCGTAATATTTTATATCACCCTGGTAATCAAAGGATATAGCTTTACATCTGCTCTTCTTTTTTTTCTTTAGACCCATGGTGATATAAAATAGTATTTTTCAGCAAATACAAATGTAAACCCAAACTCATTCATTTGACAATGGCCAACAAACATTAAATATAGAATTTAGATGCAAATATCTCTATACTAATATTATGTATTAATATTTTTATATTTTTGTAATACCTACATAATAGTACATTAAGTTTCAATGTGTTATCCCCAATATTAGACTTAAATAGGCTTTGTTACTCCAGTTTTATAAATGGGCAATTTGAGACTAAGACTATGAAACCAGAGAAGGAAAGACAGTTGCTTGGACAAATTGGATTTTGGATCTGATCTCACAACTAGGTAGTGAAAGAAATGAGCATAAAAGCCAGGTCCCAACTCCGACATCTAGTCATGTGTCTTTCTCAAGATCACAGTCCTTCTCTCATTAATGATATGCTTCCTATCTATGTTTGTGTTAATGGGGATGGGCTTCCTCCTATACATAGTTGTTTTTTTTTTCTTTGCTGTTAATCACGTATTCACTTATCATTCAGCCAATAATTACTGAGAGCTTACTGCCTAACAACCAGTGGGGATGTAATAAGAGAAAAGATAGGTATAGTCCCTGACCTCATGGAGCTCATGCAGCCTGATAGAGGAGACGGATATTAAACAGTCGTAGAAACATATATACCAGCATAAACCATGATAAGAGCTAAGAAGGATAATAATTGGATGAGACGAAAGACTGCAGGAGGGGCATCTCACATAAATTGGAAGGTCAGAGCAGACTTCTTTGAGAAAATGACAGTTACATTCAGATCTAAAGGATGAGTAGGAT